GCCCCCCGGTTTCAACACAGCCCAGTCGGAGCAGAGCTTTAGGGAGCTTGTTAGCGTTGTCCAACTACTCAGACAGCCTTCATTAATACAAATGTCAGGCTCTTCTCCCTCCAATCTTACTGCATTGATTTTTGGAGCTTCCACTTGCTGCAGACACAACAGATTGCTGTACAATGCATAAAAGCCTGGATACAAAACTGATGTGCACAGCTGCAAATTGAAAGGGATGCTGTTTCCTAATTGATTTATTACTTCTGCTCCAACCAACCACTCCAGCCACTAGCAAGAAAAGGAAAGAATTTTAGCATTTTTTTTCCGCTCCTCAGACAAAAAAACAGAGGAAGACTTTCATGTGGACTAAATCCATCATCCCACTGTCTGCCCTGACAGACAATTTGACAAGGCATCGTTTTTAAAAAGTTATTTAAAACTAAAAAAGGAAAACCCCAGGAAAGTACAGGAATTTTCTACATTCACACTTTAGGTTACGCCATGCAGAGCACAAAGTATCAAATGCAGGAAGAGAAAACTAAGGATATTTAAAACCAGAAATTTACTGTTCTTTGCCGCCTAATGCCTTAGTGCAAGACAAAGATTTGGGCATCATATGGCAGAAATAGCATCACTACACAGCTGTTGCCTTTTATTGCACTTTTTGCCTGCGCAGTGAAATCAGTGAGGTTCCAGCAAAAAAAAAAAAACAAACTACTTCTTCTCACAGGTCTCAGTGCATCTAAATTTGCAGTTTGGGGGTTTATATAGGGATTATTACTGCAGACAGGAAAGAAGCAGCAACTTGTTGTGGAAAATTAACAATATTTATGATAGTATTTTCTAGATCAGGACATTTTTTACACTGGTTAGAAAAGAAGTAAAGAAGATTGTATTTGCTTGAGTCATTGCTATTTTACTCTACAAATATCTAGTCTGGCAAAGAGGCTTTGGAATTTTGCCCCTCCCTCCACTTCCCAGGGCACTTAAAATGATACATGCAGCACTCTGCAGCAGTGTTAGGATTTTTATATTACTATTTCTGTCACTGGTGGACTGATATTATCATCCATCTATCTGAGACCAGAATCTATGCCTTCTGCCCCTGTATTTTTCAGCAGCTCCACAGCCTGGCAAGCCCTGATGCCACCCCAATGTGGGTATCACCATGACAGAGCAACAAGCACCAGCTGCTGCAGCACTACAAATAAGTCATGGGGCGAGGTGATGATGAAGGTGACAATTCTCAAGTATAAAATGACAAATTACTCAGAGGAGCATTTAAGCAAAATATTTTTACTAATAAAGTATAAAATGAACCTAATATGCCTTTGTATTAGACCCGCATCTCCACCATAGAAATTGAATTTCGACAAGCTGCCACAGTCTTCCTGCAGTTTCAGCCTCATTTTCACATCCCCAATACATGTGGGAGGTTGCTATTGGCACTGACAGCATCTCATCACACCCAAAGCCAGCATAAGCAATGTTGAAAGCCTTCCCTCTTTGGTCTCAGAGCAGTGCTCAGCATCAACTTCTCTTTGCCACCATGGGATCAGGTAAGAGCTTTGCTCTGTGGTGCATACCACATAAGCTTAGCTAGCAGCCAAAGATCTCCCCATCCCTGGGAATAAGAATTCTTTCTGCTTTGGCTGCTAGAGGTATGTGAACATCTGCCTGCTCTTTAGTCAGCCACTAAACAAAGTAAGATAAAGACAATTCCTATTTGAGACTGATATAATGCTCATTACTAAGACTGGTTTCCATGGCATTAAGGCTGGCACCTTCCTTATCACTTCTGTCCATTCACTTTGTCTGACCTAGTGCTAAATTAGCACCCCCACAGTTGTTAAAGGAGGCAATGCTCTGGAGAGCTGTACCACACACAGCTGCAGCAATCAAAGGCAGCACAGTGGTAACATACAGGTATGCTCACCATCACTGCTCCACACATTGTCACATTGTCACAAAACGAGTGCTCTCCGGCAGAGGTGGAGAGATGTCCCCACACTGCTAAGGACTAACTGCTCGCTGCCATTGCTTCCATTTAGCATTTGGGCCCACTCACTGCAAACTTTGTTTTGAAAGATAGACTTTTTTTCCCAGTAAGGACACCTTTATCACATCTATCTTACCCTCAGACAGAGACACAGTGAAAGTGTTTACGCTCAAAGGCTAGATTCCTTTTATGTGTATGTTAGTAAAGAAATAAGGGTAGCCCAAACAGCCAAGGAATGCTAACACCATTAACAGGATGAGAAGGTCTAGGTGTTTTTTCACTTTAGGGGTAGCTTCTACTTAGGTATTTAACCATGGAGTTAATAGACTACCCAACTCTGCACAGCTTCTGCATACTTTTTTCCCCAAGGTTTCACTCAATTCAAAGTCTACTCAAGCTGCTTGTCACCATTTTTTTTCCCCCATGAGAATTTATCCCCTTCTCCCCTTAATAAGAGGACATGATATTTTTTAAATTTCATATAATAATAAGTTTGATTTTGAATCCTTGACTTTGAATATTCATCAAGTGTGTGTTTCTTTCCCTTTTTAGTAGAGCACAGTGACTGATCAAAACCTCATCCTCCTAGCTTTCTTTTGTGGCCAGGATCCTCATCGCCCCAGAAGCATATCCTGGTACCACAAAGTGCCATATTAAATGCACAGACAGGAGCTATATGCCAGCTTCTAATCAGAACTTTATTTTGGAAGCAATTACATGACTTTCTAATAAACTGCTGTGCTGCTGGTACCCAAGCATACGCCGTACAGTGATCCCTGTATCAAAGAGAAAAGAAAAAAAGAGAAATCCATCAGTCTAGGAAACATTAATTGAACATACATATATTTTGCTTCTTCAGCTATTGACCTATTTAGGACAGGAGTATTTCAAGTTTTCCATACAACTGTTCAACAGACATGACCCAATATCCTGGTGGGGGCTGATCTGTACTCAAAAGTAAAGTCAAACCAGAAGCTCTTCTAGTTTGTAGAAGCTTCCAAACTTAATTCTTAAGAATTATTAAGAATTGCCTTACTTCTAAAGGGTGAGAAAACAGAAAACAAAGCTAACGAAACACGCAGCCTACTCACCTCCTCACTGTGGCATTTAACAGCAGCCATGGGTTACAAAGATTAAATTCCTGAGGCGGAGTGAAAAAAGCATTAAGTAATAAACCTCCTAGCAACAGGAGTCAAATGGGTCAGAAGGATTGTTCAAATATTGAAGTTCAACAAAATTCTACCACCTTAAAAAAAACTGTGTTAGAAAATGTTTACAACAAGGAAACAAAGGGTGATGTATCTTGTCAAAGAATCGTTTAGATTGAAAAGATCCAGTCTGACCATTAACCTAGCACAGCCACATCCATCACTAACCCCTGTCCCTAAGTAGCAAGCCCACATTGTTTCTGAACACTTCCAGGGATAGTGACTCCACCACTTTTCCAGGCAGCCTGTTCCAGTGCTTAACAACAAGCCTTTCAGTTAAGAATTTTTCCCCAATATCCAAACTAAACCTTCTCCCTTGACTGGGAGAAGAGACTGATGCACACCTAGCTGCACCCTCCTGTCAGGCAGCTGCAGAGAGTGATGAGGGCCCCCTGAGCCTCCTTTTCTCCAGGCTGAGCACCCCCAGCTCCCTCAGCTGCCCCTCACAGCACTTGTGCTCCAGACCCTTCCCCAGCTCCGTTGCCCTTCCCTGGACACGCTCCAGCCCCTCAATGTCTCTCTGGCACTGAGGGGCCCAGAACTGAGCACAGGATTGGAGCTGTGGCCTCAGCAGTGCTGGGTACAGGGGGACGGTCACTGCCCTACTCCTGCTGGCCACACTACTACTGATACAAACGCACCTGTCCAAGCCCTGAGTAGCCAGTTTCTCCAGGAGGATGCTGTGGGAGAGTATCAAAGGCTTTACAATAGTCCAAGTGGAAAACACGACCTTTCCTGCATCCACTGAGCTTGTCACCTTGTCACAGAAGGAGATTCAGATTGGTCAGGCAGGACCTGCCCTTCACAACCCCACCTGCTGGCTGGACTTGATGCCTTGGTTGTCCTGCACGTGCCATGTGATAGCACTTCAGATGATTTGCTCCGTGACCTTCCCCAACACTGAGATCATGCTGACAGGCCTGTAGTTCCTTGGATCTTCCTTCTGACCCTTCCTGCAGACAGGTGTCCCATTTGCTGACCTCCAGTCAACCAGGACCTCCCTGGTTAGCCAGGACTGCTGGTAAATGATGGAAAGTAGCTCAACCATTTCTTCCACCAGCTCTTTTAGTATCCTTGGGTGGAGCCCACGCAGCCCCACAGACTTGCAGCTCTTTAAGTGGCACAGCAGGTCACTGATCATTTCACTGCACGTGCTGCACAACAGCTACTCCCCACAAGGGTCCTGTGGTGGCAGTACATAACTGGCAGCCTCTTGCCACCTGATGAACATTCAACATTGAGCTCAGAAGAAATGATCCTGAATTGAATTAAAAAGAGTTGTGCCATTCACAGCAGTAAGCTTGTGCCTTACATCCCCTCACCTCTCCCCACACTTCATCCCCGTCACACCTCCATCCTCCTTTGAAGGAATCTACCAGCCTGCTTGAGTGGAGATGGAATGTCACAGCTGTGCTGGAGCTCCATGGACACTGTCACAGTGGGTAACTGCTGTCTTCCAGAGCCGCTGCAGGCATCAACTCCGTGTCACTCCCCTCCCCAAACCCAGATGCCCATTTCCATGAGAATCCATACCAGTCAATGCCCATGATTTAACCATCCATCAGTGTCTGGAGACAGCAGCCACAGTGCTGGAAGCCACTGAATGAGAGGGAAGAGAGAAACAGCCTGACAGCACAATCCCAAAACTACATAATTAATTGCTGGAAAAATTTGCACATAGACAGTTCTTTGTTCTTAGAAACTTGAAAAAGTTTTAGGGAAACAAGCTTTTTATAGAGCATAAGACACTTACACTCTATGGTACTGATACTCTTCCCATTAAGAATCTACAAGGTGCTTCTGCTGACATATTCCAGGTATAACCAGTAACATAATTGAGCTCACATGAATGACTGGATTATTTCTACTGTCCTCATGAGTAGTGGAGTGGAAATACCACTGACATCAAACAGCGGGGGAAAGGCCACTAAAGCTGTATTCCTGAGCCTTATTTCAATTTTTAAAAAATTGATGCTATAAATGCAATCATGATCCAAAATGCAGTTATGTTAGGAACATGTAGATGGAGGGAATGTAGCTGAATTTGGATTTTTTGTGGTGAGGAAGATGCATAAACTCTGACCCACTCCACCTTATTTCAATCTCCAACCTCACAATCCACAAGAAATAAGTAGCTAAGTGTAGGATCTACCTAAATGATGTGACAGAAACAGAGACACACACAAGCACAAAGAAAGAGGTTTCTGAACCAAGTAATCTAAGGCACAGCTCTTTCCCTTCTGCTGTCTTCATCCTAGGGAGAACACTGAAGGAAAAACAAAGTTACTTCTCGTAAAAGAAAGAGGTCACATGCATAAGTTCATACCACAGCTGTACAACAAGGTACAAACTAACAGAAAACCATATCTTGCACATGGACTTGAACCTTCTTCCAGACCAGACTTTTCTTTCTTTACAGAACAGACAAATTAGACTTGATTTGATTTCATGGAGTTTAAATATGGGTCAGCTTCTTAACCTGCTTTGAAGAAAACCAAGCCGAACCTTGAATGCATTTGTATATTACACACTAATCATATTAACACATCTTTAAACTGGGGTGAAAGATAATTTGAAACAATGTCTACAGTGCTGATCCCCAAAAATCATGGCTAAATTCAACCATCCAAGTAAAAGTCTGAGAATATTATTTCAAATCCCATTTTGACTTTAGTTTGTACTACTATATGTGATTATTCTACTATATAATCACTTTTCACTTAGGCTAAATTAAGGACATAACTGCTGTTTAATCGGGAAAGAAGCAGAGCACAGGTACCCAGGAGGCTCAGACTGTTCCCCAATTTACAAAGCCATTCCTAGCGCTGTGTTACATTACACCATGATCCAGGCTTACACTGTGCACTGAAGAAATTCTACACAATCCCACAATACAACACCTCCCTTTACCCCCTCTCCCTCTGCACTTTCAATGCAGGATCAAGGCCCTAACTTCAGCAAGAACAATTCTGCACTATATGAATTCTAGGAAGAACAGTTCTACATATTAGCCAATGAAGTTTTTGTTTCTCCTATAATGCAGGAGAATGACAGGAAATGATCTCTCAGATAGGCACGTATGTATTACAAGGATCACAGCATTATTGTTTTATTGTTTGCACAATGGTAAGTTGCACATATGGACAAACAGTACACATTTAGAATTAGTTTCACAAATTAATACATTATAAGAGTCCAGTGGTTTAACATATTAACTATTAAAAAAAGCAGTAACAAAGAAATACAAACATTACAGTTTTGACTGCAGCCCAGTAAAAGTTTAAAAACAGGTTGAAATTAAAATAAACCATAAGCTTTATTTTTCTGTGACATTAAAAAAAACACATATCCCTTCCTAAGAGACTGCTCACAAAGATGCAACAACATACAAGTACAAAAGTGAAGAATTCTGTGCTCAGTTTCCCTTAATTTTATCAGATTAAGTGACAAACCAAACATTTGTCAAGGAGCAATGGCTGCTGAATGCAGACACTTCCAAAACATACAAAATGATAGTAATACTTTAACAATAGAAAGCCAATGACAAAACCTCTACATAAAATCAACTTGGCTCCAAAGTTTCATGCTCACACATCAACCTAGTATCATTATTTGAAAAGAATCAATTGATTTGTTATTTCCTTCTTAAGATATTTTCCTGGATATTCCTAGTGCACACCAAATTGGAGATGCAGAACAACAAGCTATGATGTTACAGTATATAAGATTCATAAACTACTGCTGCAATAGCTTTAACCTTCAAATGACATAATTTTCCTCCTCTGTTTTTGAACAGCAAGTTACTGTACTAGACCTCTTTCAAAAGCAGATGCCCAACTGCTTTTAAGGCAGGGCTGAAGAGAAGTTCATGAAGCAACTTGGATTTGTAACACTTAATTTTGGTTTTCAACAGGACAGTGCATCTTATCTCTCTCAAATTCAGGGAAAAGCTCATCCAGTCTGACAACTCCTGTTTGCACACATACCTTGTGGCATCCTGAGCTTTCAGCTGAAATCCAGCAGTGCCCTACTCTCCAGCTCAGGAGAAAAACAAAATCCAACAGCTTGGGAACATTACCTATGAAAAGTGTGTCAAAATCCCAGATTCTTCTTTAGAGTTGGCTGCTAAATGGGCCACGAAAAAGGTTAGAAAAACCAAAGCAAAACCAAAACAGCTACTAACCACTATCTACCAAACTTTATGAAATAGTAAACATTGTATTTCAGCTGGTTTTAAACAACAAGACACAGGAGCAATGATGACACAGCCTGGGACCCCCCATTTGAAATTCCTAGGAACATCCGGATATGGGACCACAGGACAACATGGAGAAACAGAACACACAAAGAAAAGGAGATCTGTCTATGGGGGAAGGTATGCACATCTGTGTTTTATACATATATATATATACACATACATACACACAGATGTGTGCACTGTACTGTATATATTTACATCCATATACACAAAAACACCCTGAAGTAGATTTAAAGGCCATATCCAGAAACAGAAGATATGAACTCTAGTATTTGTACTAGAATATATTTTATCTGTACAAAAAAAACAAATATGCATATATTCATATGGTATAAAGCTTATTAACAAAAAATATTCTGCTACTAACATTAGGTTAAATAGATGATTTTACAAGATTCTTTAATAATAATGCAGTATAGAACATTTCTAAAACTAGGGCCCAAAATAAAAATACATAAACGGGTTTCTATTCACAAGAAAATAGCTGTTCAATATGATTTCACTAGGGAAAAGTAGCAAAATTTTTATAAATCTCCTGGGATGCAATTTAATTAATCCATCTACAAAAATAGACTTTTCAGATGAAGAAAGTTGATGCGCTTCCCCCTCCCTAAAAGGGGTGCCTATCTTTTCCCTCGCTTGTTTCCTGCTGGAGGTTTCTTCAGCTGAAGAAGTTGCCCTCCTGTCCCAAAGCCTGCAGATGCAGGATTAGACACCCCGAACGTCAGGCCAGCTGATGCTGTGATGCCAGGATTGCTGAAGTTAAACCCAGATGTAGTCGAGCTCCCAAAGCCTTATGGGGGAGGGAAAAATATTTTAAAACATCAGTTATATCAGGATTGTAAATTCATTCTCCTTGAAGTTTTTACCAGCAGCCACTTTATTACCAGCAGCTGTAACACTTTATACCAACGGAGATCAACAATGGTAAATCACATTGCTAGAGCACTTGGACTTGCCATGGCAACTTGGATAATGCAGCACTAACAGAGACCACCTCAGTGAATGCCAACAATCATAACCTAAATCACAAGTCTATGATACCATTACCCATACAAGAGTAGCACACAAAAGTCCCACTGAAATCATACAACAGAAGAACCACAATTCCTCAACTTCTCAGCATCAACATGTGGTGCACTCCTAAGGTGGGAGGGAAGGCAGCAGGTACAGGTGGACCATGTTTTGTGGTTGTTGTGTTCATGTTTGCCATTTCCCTCCACTCACAGCAGGGAAATGGCAAAGCTGGAGTTGGAGCACTCAGTCTTCTTCTTACACACGTGGCACACATCACACCTTACATGTAAGGCAGAAAAGGCTCAAAAAATCCTTGCCAGACTGTTTGTATTTGAAAACACCCCTTATGACAAACCAAAACCAGCACTAGAAACAAAGATTTGGAAAAACTGCATGACTGGCTGAGCAAATTGTGCTATTTTAACTCCTCTACCCTCTTCTATCAAGGTAAACAAACGGAACATATGCAGCTGTGAAACCAGGTCAGTTGGAAAAAGCCCCCTACAGTTTCCAGCAACAGTAATACTAACTCATTTCACTTTCTGTTATAAATTTGTATCAATTATGCATCATCAACTTAGATAATAATTGCAACTATTAGAGAATGCTAGAAACATCTCAAAGATTACTTTAAGAAGCAGAACTTCATAACTTCACTTTTTGTTGTCTCAAGAGACCACAAAATAATAAGTAAGACATGAGCAAGTTCAGATTTTAACAAAGAGCTTCATACAAGTTGTATATGAAAACCTGCAAACAATTAAGATAATAAGAAAAATGAGACTGGTTCACAATCAAGAAAGGTATATTCTCAATATGCATTACTTTATATTGCTTCATTAGTTCTCTAGCGGGCAGTTGAAGCAGTCCTTTGGTCACATCAGTATCTTCAACTCAATGCATAAAATATTTCTGGAGTACAGTAATAAAAGCCCAACTGGTTGTCTCATCAGAATCCTAAAGTAGCTCTCACAAGCCCAATGTCTTCTGTTCTCTCAGTTGTTACTGACACTCTGCATTAAGAAATACTTCAAAATATAACATGAAACTCTTCCTCCTGCAATGTCTGGACTTGGGTTGCACACATCTTGTCAAGAAAATTCCTTATCAACATTCCAGTAACTCACAGTCCTACAGCATGCAGTTGCCTGCATAGAACTCATTGTCAGTGTAATGGTTGTGCAGATCTGGAGTGTGACTAATGAGAGTGACTGATAGTGGTCATTTGGGTCTTGTCTAAATTTTGTGGGCTAATTTGTCTCTCATCCTAGGATGTAAGGGGTGAAAACACATGCAATTGTTACTCCATTTCCCTGATAACTCTGAATCCCAGCTAAGATTGATCAGGGAGTCTCATGAATGGAAAAAAGTTACCTTTCTACTTCATGTATGTGAGATAACAGGTAAGCATTGCTTCCCCCAGAAAACATCATGAATGCCATTCACAATAAAGCTGTATGTGACCTGTAGTGTCTGGAGTTCAGTAGGCAAGAGTAAAGTGTTCATCAATTACCTCCACCTTGCTGCTTCTAGATGCAGGGATTATTTTTAAGCATGCAGGGAAGGCAGGCTAGAGTTTACTTGAGTAATATTACAGTAAGAGATGCATAAAATACAGGATGGAAGACTGAGAACATGCTTGTTAATTTAGATACAGCTTGGAAAGTAATAGCTGTTATGCTAGCAGTGACATTAAGGGCAGCCATCAAAGTATGCAATGGCAGATGTGAAATTCATATGTATGGTTTTCTCCTGTCAGGGCAGCATAACAAGGCCAAGGCACCAAGTTTCATCAGAAGTAAACCAAACCCTAAAGCTGAACACTCAAATGAAAAATCTTCAAGATAAAAAACTTAAACAAGATACACATTGAGTATTATTTCTGTTGCAAGAAAGACAATCAGTCACAGAATAGGTCAGTTTAGATGGAAGACTCACAGTCTTGAACCACAGGTATAATGTGATCAACAATGTCCCTGCTGAAATTAGTATTATTTATGTGTGAACAGTGATTTTCAGGAAGTAAATGACAACCTGCCCTTCAAAGACAGAGTTTCACATCTCCCCAAACAGTGTTATGATCACACTTTATTCACTGGGCTTGTGCATCTCTGATTCTGTCAGCCCTTTAGCTCGGTAAGCCAAAGATGAGTACCTCCCCATAACAGCCTTTTTTGGGTAATTTTAATACTACAGGGAGAAACAGCAGTTCATCAGATGGCAATCCATTCCTGCTTTCATCTCCCATACCACAAGGGTGCTCTAGATCAAAAAGTATTTTAAGAACAGCTTTGACTGATTTATTATAGCCTATCTAAAAGCTGCTCAAAGATTATATTAAGGTCTGTTTTTCAGCAGTATGAGTCCACACAGCCATGAACCCACTTATTATCTCTTATCTAGTTTACTGAGGCTGCAATTTTTCAATAAAAATAAGTCTCCAACAGGAGTTTTCAACTCAGATCTTTAAAGTATATTTACCATCTGTTTTCACAAAAATTGTGTTTGAACACTCTCCTTCCTCTTAGCATTTTATTAAATTGTTAAATAAATTTAATGGTGATTTTTTTCCTTTTCCCATTACTTGGAGAGTCTGATGTCCTTTATAATAGCTCACTAACACGAGCCTTTTGGTTGCTATTAAATGAATAAGAGTAGCAATTAAATGGGACTTGTTTTGGAGTCAGCTTTCTGGAGTGTCTCTGTGTGTTTCAAGAGGGACACCTGATTCACTGTTCCATCTCACATCTGTGTCCACTAAATAAAATGCAAGCACACTGAAGCTGTGCTGCTCTTCATCTGCTGATGAACACAACAACCACTCCTGGACCAAGCCAAATTTACTATTAGAAGATGCTCAAAGACTATCAGAGGACTCAGAATTTTTTCCTCAAACACAAAGTGAAATGGAGAAGAGCAGTAATACCGCTACAAATATTTTTGCATCTTTTAAAGCAATTAAACCTAACTTATAAAAATCAAACTCCTGACAGAACTAATTTGGGGATCTATAATTATAGTTTTAAGATAAGATCTAACTTATCAAAAATCCTTGGAGGAGAGCTGGGGCAGCCTAAGCAGCCTGGAACAGTGTGTGCTGGAACACACACTTACCTAGTGTTCCCAGACACATTTGTCTGGGAAAACACTTAACTGCTCATATCTAAACCCAAGCACCAACAACAGTGAATTCCAAAACCCATAATCACCCACTTTCTTAGCTTTTTCAAAGAAATAGATTCAGAAACAAGATGCAACCATTATATTGTAAGATAAACCAGAGTATGCTTTCAAGATCCTGTAAATGATACCTAAGAAACAGGACACAACAAATTTGAAAGAAGTAAATATAACCTAGCTAGCCTCAGGTATCATTCAAACCAATTTATACACATTTATACACCCTCAATAAAATTAAAGATCTTACACAATCCAGGTGCTATATGACATAAGGTTTTGGATAGAGAAGGTAAAAGTTAGTGTGTTTTTGGACTCCCAAATTTTTAATAGCAGTTTCTATTCCATAACCCGTCTAGATAAGGATTTCATGACCACTTAATTTTCAAAGCAAAAAATGACAGAAATTACATTTCACTTAGTTTTATTCAGCTACTTTCTGTAGCTGAGACTCTTTCAGAGGTAACTGACAATTTTATTGGATGCAATCCCTTCATTTGCAAAAGAGACTGATGGCACTGACTCCATGACAAAGTCTGGTTTGAGGGAAATGGTATCTAAATTGCCTCTGCACACCACCAACGTAGCTAAGACAGACTTGTTATTTATTTTGGCTTGATACTTATTTAGTGATGGACAACTGATCCATACAAGTAGTTTTGTAATTCTACTTTTAGTATGTTAAAAATGAAACTATTAACTTTGCAATCCAGCAGCTTTAAATGCTGCAATATTATTTAATACAGACTCAGGAACAATAGGCTACAAGATAAAACCACAAGCAGTGTAAGTTTCCAATTGTTTCTCATGTTAAGAGCTAAGTAAAAGAAGGCTGATACTTGGACACCAGATACTGTAAAGAGTTCCATAAAGAATCTACTAGGTTGTTAATATTCATGAATGTTACACAGCCAACCCAGTGAGCCATTTCCACCTTATAATGCAAAGCTTAAAGTACTTTACAGGCCTAGCAACTCATCACTAACCAAGGAGAATCCAGAATACAAATCATAGCACTTTCTAGTAAATACCAGCAAAATGCTCTTTTCTTTTAATAGCAGTTAATCAAACATTTTTCTTGAGAAATGATCCTCCTTCAATGTGCCATTGAAAAAAGACTTCAAGACAGACTATAGAAGCTATTTGCTTAGTAATAACTTAGTAAGCTACTATTCCTATTTAAAAGGTAAATAGAAGTGCCAGCTGTATTTCAGACTTTGAGTTAAGGCACAATAGCATTCATATTTTATCACCCCCCAAAAAACGAAACCAAAATAGCTCAATGAGTACTGTGTAGTTCAATTGCCATGGGAATGTTTTCAAAGTAGTTAATATAATGAATTATAAATATATACAGAGATACAATACATACAAATCACTATTCAGAGTAAGCACTTACAGATTTTTAAGGAAACCTCTGGGCTTCCAGAAAATAATTTTAACCTTATTAGTAAATATAGTAAGTCAAATTACTAGTATATTTGTGACTAATTTATTCACGAATTTCAATCAGTAACTCATACCATGCATTCAAGTGACAACTGCTCTTCTTTGTATGAGGTTGTATCTGACCTCCTGCTTCCACTCTTAACTAGGAGAGATACCATGAAATGGGAAACATTAATGCTCAATCAATACTGTCTACATAGGAGACCTTCAACAGAACCCAGAAACTTATCTGAAAATGTGTCTCTAGCAAGTAAATAGTTATGTTAATAGCGATATACACATGCAACTTTAAACAATCAATTTCTTTGAGTGAGTGCAGCAGTTTGATCATAAAACTTGCTTTAAGATAAACTTGATTTTTGAATTCAAAAGAAACAAACCAACCTGCACTTAGACTTCCTGATGGTTTACTTGTAGTTCCAAACCCAAATGATGACGCTCCTGTGGCACTACTTCCAAAGGCAGAGCTACTTCCAAATCCTAGTAGAATAATAGTAAAGACATACAACAAAAAAAAAATTACAGACACAGCAATTAAAGACACATAGGTTTTAGGTGAGTACTCTAAACCCATTATTTGTAAAAAAATACTCCTAAGATTATTGTCTGAAGAGTATTTATCCTTGACACAGCATTGTGTTAAGAAAACTGCAAATTGGAAAGTATTGAGAAAAATACTACCTCCAAAATCCAAAACTGAGTAAAGAAAAAATTATAAAAACAGGTGGTGTGAACTCTCAGCGTTTACAAACTATCTATTGAATTGCCATTAAACTGGCAGGAAATGGTAATCAAATGAGCCAAAACAAAGAAATTTCAGATACAAGCTACATGACTTATTACAGAAAGTCACAATCTTCATCTACAACTCTAGAAAAAAGAAATATGCTTAAAATAGAATAAAAGCATTTTCTTCAGTTTACACTTGGCTTATTTTAGTCGTTCCCTTCCCAGGTTATTAGGAATCAGTTTTATCTAGGAAACTACAAAATAGTTTAAATACAGAATAGAAACGAATTTCACAATATTTAATGTGAAAAATCACCATTAAAGGGCAGCCTTAAATGTACAGCTGTGACAAAATTTAATTCTGTTGATTTTGCAACTGAAATTCATATTTCATAATACAAATTTTTTAAGGTTTCAAATTGTGTTATTAATATGAGGTCACTCTAAAGAAAAACTAAATTGAAACTTGAAATAGAGGCCAGACAATAGGAACTGTAAGAACACTGTATACTCTGATTTTGGCTGTCTCAGGTTTTCAAAAAGAAAATAGTATTTGTATTCATGTTTGAGGAAACCATGCTCCCATCTTCAGTTTCAAGTGAGGAAAAATCCTTTTATTTACTGCAAACTGAGCATTTGCCATTCCTTTACAGAAATATTTTTGCGATTTAAAAACCAGTAAGGACTGAACACACTATCTGGAGCAGTGTTCTCAAGTTTTCTAAGATTTTAAAATCAAATTAAGGGTAGGTAATGACAAGTATCATCTCCAAGTAAGACAGTTCATTTAAATTACACACTTTTTTGTCTTTTCTAAGTTGAAATTCATAACCAATGATCAGGCAAGGTGTCTGCAAATATTTAACAAAGCATAGGATCTATGCTAATAATTTATACGCTTAAATGTAAAAGCCTCTGTTTATCACTGTCAACGTAAACTGAACATTAATCAAGGAAAGAGAGCAAATTTCCCCAATTAAAATAGAACTTCCAGAGCATACACAAGAAACTGTCCTGTTCAAAAACCCAAATCCCTAAGATTAAAATCCCAAACAAACTTAAGTAATCATTCAGCCAATTTGTTTCCAAGAACACACCTACAGTCTATTTTGCAGGTATGTGTTTATTCTTCTACATTTGCTTCTACCAGAGTGTCTTATGGATTTGTTAAGACATTTTGCAAATTAATGATGCAAACAAATACCTTCCTAGGCAGAGAGCTAGGAAAAAAAAAGAGAATACAAGTCAGGATTTTGGACAAAACTAAAAGCAATCGGAATGTTCATTTATTTACATATGTAAGACTGGTGAACAATCTTTAGTCTACAACCTTTCCAGCAGAAATGGAAGAATTTTGTTTGGTTTGGTTTTTTAAGGCATTTAAAACATTGCAGGAAAAACTGGTAATTCTAAAGTAATTTCCTTTTAGCACATTATTTTCACTTTCTCCTTGTTTAGGTATATACATTTTCTTTTATCTGAAAGAAATCAAGAACTTAATATCTGATGAGAAGGGACACTGGTAGATAGAAAGGTATTTTAAGATGATTATTAAAGGTAAAGCTCATGTAATGTCCAGGTCACATCATCTTCCCAATACTGAGTGACGCTTAATTATTTTCAATACATTACAACACTGACTCATATGTTCAGCTCAAAGGTAAAATGTAGGAATGGGGACTGAGGCTGCAGAGAAGGGAGGATGTAACAAGAAAAGCCATGTTATGTTTGCACTCAGCAGATGTAACAATTTTCTTTGCAGATCTTATAAAAGCTCCAGAAAACATTAGTCTCTGTAGGCACTCCAACCTATATAGACAGGAAAGTTACATGCCCATTAGATTCTGCTACTCACTTAAACTCTATCTGTAGCTCTAGTGCTGAGAACGTATCACATGTAAAATAAAAAGTCTACATTAACTTGGAATTTATTTTTTTTAATACTGCCTACTTTTTCACAGCCATGTGTCCTCCTGGAATACAGTCGCCACCAGCACTATTAACATTTTGGTAAGTATTTTTCCCTCACTTTCACGTGTTGCTTTTTCAGCTGGGGGAAGAGATTTTTTTCCCCACCTCAGCACTCAGGCACAGAGTGAGTGCTAAAGCAAATAGATTTCAGGATCACATAATGGCAGTAACTTTTTAACATTTATTCTCATCTTAATACAAGCAGAAATAGGTCCCTATAGTTAAAAGGTGAAAAACTCCCATGGATTATCTACAATGTGGTCTAATGTCTCAGGTGCCTAATTTTCATATAGGTAATATTCAGTCAAGTTGTAGTTCTAACACACTTGATGTCCTTCCCTAGCTTTCAGAGCACAACTGCTCTGTGATTACCTAATCCTGTTTATCTTGGGGTTTCACTACAATGGCTTAGCCCTAGCAACTCCTCCTGCTAGGCAGGAAGAAGCCTGGAAAGCACACCTGCCAATCTGTAAGGTCTTTCCCTGAAACAGATCATCCTCTTAGTGGAGTGCAAGGTTTGCAAGAGATTCAGCTGTGCGGTATAATAATTCAATGAAAGATTAGAAAAGTTAAAGTGTACCTCCAAGGCTTGAAGAACCTAAGCCACTTGATTGCAAGCCAGTGCCAATACCTGAGCCGAATGGCGTTCCAAAACTAACTCCCAGAGATGGCTGTGGCCCTGGTACAAAAAAAATGAGAACAAACTTGCCTTACTCTTTGGCAGTAAAGAGGTCCTTTATTTACTTATTCAAGTATTTGATAATGTGAACATCATTGCTTTCAACAAACCCCATTAAGAACCCAGATTTTACCTCATCAAAATTTCTCACTTAACTGTCTGCCTCTACATTCACTTACCAAAAATCTAATACTGATTGCAGTAAGGTGAAACTAACCAAAACTAATAACATAAAAACATAATTTAGTATTTTTAAGTTACCCAGTCTCACCTTAAGCTTTAAAATGTTAATCAAAACCTTGAGAGAACTCATAGGTAACAACATTTTGCCACCTGTATTAATGGAATCAGAGTAAGGGAGAACTTTCAAATTAGAAACATAAGAATTGACACTAATGTAACTAAAACTGTACTACCTAAAATTAATTTAATAAATAGGAGTCTTCAAAACTACTCAAGTATACCATCCAAATTTTAACAGAACACTAAGATAAAAAACAAGACAATGACTTTATTTTATTAAATTTATTGTTCATTTTTAAGCAAGTCAATTACACAGTAACATGACAATTCATTTTTTTTCCACACAAGTGATAACTGAGTTCTGTTAAGCTCTGCTACATAACACCATTCAATAAGGTAAACTAGTCAAACCACCTGTTTAAATAACCATTTACAAAAGGCACAGTTCTGTGTACCTTAATGAATTAGATACATTCAAAATTTCAGAGTTTGTTCCATAATTTAAAAAAGTTGACAGTACTTTCCCTGCGTATCCACATTAAGATGCAGGACTGTCAAAAAACCATTTCAGTCTGCCAAGATGAAATTTACAGTCTCAGTTCCTTTTTTTATTTTACCTTAACCCTGGGGAATAAAGAATCAACTTGCTAGCCCATCACTAACACAATTTAAAATAATTAATTCTGATAAATAATTAATATATTTTGACAGTTTTCACAGTACAATCTTCTATTCCTGTCTTTTTCAAACAGTTTTCAGTGCACTATTTAAAAAGTTTAACCATTAAAGATAAAATACAGTGCCAAACTCTTAATCCACAGACATCCGCACCTCTGCTCAAGATGGTCTTCTCCATCTTTGAGCATACTTGACATCCTGGTTCTGTGAAAGTGATGATTTATTCAAATATTACTATAAAGCTCAGATGACTTTGATGTTTTTCCTAAACCATTATGACATCTGGGCTATTTCAATTCAAAATTTCCCATTACAAATATTTATATATAGTTTTAAAATGTGACTATTTCAAGCTCTTAAAAATAATTTCAGTATTTCAAGATTTAAATGGAAAATCATTTTGAATCAAGTGAAAGGCACTGTATGTTGAAAAGTAACAACTTTTGCTAGGAACACAAAATTCTTATGTGATCCAAGCTGAATAACATCTGTATACACCAAGTAGTGTTAAAACTAAATTTTAAGGCCAACTAAAGCCGTTAGCCTTCAGACTCTGCTTAGCAGGGAATAGTTGGAAAACCCAAGCTATTTCTTCCATTTTAAAAAAAGTATATCAGATGTTGCAATTACAAACTTCCACAGATTTCAAACTAAAGTTGTTTACATCCAGTTTAAATACTGATACATCTACCTAGCAGCTCTTAAAAAATAAGAAAAATGACAAAAAACCAAAACTCCCTACACAAGTCAGTGAGCTAATTAACTGAAAGAACCCAAAAACACATATCCAGTTCCTTCTCAAGTACACAGGTTTCTATCTCAGTAGGAGGCACTGTTAGTGGAAGACCTTATAAACAAAACACTACAGTCCTCCAGGCCAAGCTTTTTACCAAATGCAACATGCTTTTTTTAGAGCCAGTATAAAACATTATACTAAAACATCTCAGATCATATAAAACAGGATCTTATGCCTTAGGCTAACAAACTTTTTATTGAGCATCAGCGTATGATATTTGTTGATTTTGTACCATAATGTTCTGAAGGTATCACCACTGCTTATAGTTCTTGTAAGTAAACATAATTTTCAACAGCAAAAGACTAGTAAGACTCCTTGAAGCCGAGAGTATTAGCAAGAAAAAAATGGCACTTCCGGCTATTACAGGTACAAGACAAATTCTTTATAACAAAGTGTTTTAACATTTTAGAACTTGATGTATTTGCCCTGTAGAGCACTTCAGTTTAATTAATAGGACCCATTACAGAGAGCCAGACAGGTCAGACAGATTTCCTACTGATGTTCTGCAATTTTTTAAAATTACAGCTGGTCTAAACAGTGAGTAAATTTAGCATTACAATTCAGATCTGATTGTGACAAAGTCATACACTGGGTCATTTTAACCAAAGTCAATATCAAACCACATAATAAGAAGTTTAAGTGCCATAAAATTTGAGTATCCTTTCCAATTAGAACTTCAGTCTCACACTGAGTTAAGTCAAAACATAAAGTGTGCTAACAGCTTCATAATGCTTTGACTAATTTTGTACTTCACCAGTAAAGGAGAGAATGAGTTTCTTAGGGGGTTATTTCTATATGACAAAAGGTGAGCCTAAAGAAAAGCCTTTCTTTAAGACAGTTTAGTCTTACCCAAAAAACATCAGTTGCAGCCTCATGCATTTACAGGTCTCGGTGCACTAGGCTTTAATTTCCTTTGAAATCTTATATTGTGATCCCATCAACATAAATAGGTAGATTAGCCAGTATCATTGTAACTTCCACACTGTTCAAGATTGCTCAGGGAGGGTGCAGATGAGGCAGTGTTTAAAATTTCATCTGCTACTGCAGAAAAGCATGACCGGCCTCACTGCTGTGCCAAAAAAGCTGTGCTCAGAATGAAAGTGCCAAGCTAGGGAGAAAAGTTGTGTACAGCCTAAACTTGAGCATAATTTCAATAATTCTAGCTTAAAAAACTGCACAAAAATTGTGCTTTAATGTGCACACCACAGTCCTGATGTTGTGATTACCCATCCCAGGTGAGCAGTGGAGTGCATTTTTGCTCCCTTTCTTTCATATGGCCAGGACTCACTGGCTTTATTTATTTCAGTAGAAGCCAGAAAGGTCTGGGCATACAGAGAGAACACAGGGTGCATATCTACACCCAGGAACTGGGAAAACATTCCCTGATCCCACAGCTTAGATGTAGCTACTAAACTTTTGACTTCTGAAAAGAAATGTAAAATAAATTATTATTTATCTTTTTTTCAGAGAAAGAAAAGTAACTAACTCTAAGTTAATCTTACTAAATACTTAACATTGTAAACATCAAATATTTTTTAAAAGAGACTAAGCATCCTGATCCCTCAATACTAGAGTATTATATATTACATTTTTCATCAAGAACTTTATAAAGGTCAGATTCATTTTCTTGTTTAATTCTCATTTTCAAAACCAGCAATAGCAGATCGGGTATTACACAGACATCCCTTACCCCTCCCTTTATATACACCTCTTTTCATAGCCTTTTTTCTCAGAACCTTTTCCCATCCCTCATCTACCCCACCCTTCAAGATCCAGATCTTGCAAAGAAATATGTATGATTTTAACTTCTAGCAGATAGTATATCCACTTCACGACAACATAACACAAAGCTAAAACATGCAGCATTTGCATTACTTCAGCAAATGGCCATCTAAAAAGTCAAGCAATAAAAAGGAAATGAAGATGAGGCAGTCTTAAAGATTCCTGCAAAACTGAAAGAACAGATTCTTCTCTTTCTCCAAAACAAAAATTAGCAGCCTTAATCTGAAACTAGGAAAAAGTCAAGCTCTGAAATGAGTCATTTAGGAAAGCTATTAAATGTTCCCATTTAACAAACTTTTAGGGCTTCAAGGTATCTTTGAAATAGTTTAGGCCTGACTAATTCTACTTTTGATCTAGAGAGAACTCCAAGTACCTTTTTCTTTCATCTAACTCTAAAGAGTTTCAAGTATGCTTAAAGTGCCACTCAGCACATCAATCTATTTCTATTTCTTCAGGTCCTCCAGTGAGTTGCACAGAGGGTAAAAGTATTTCAACTGAGTAAGTAGTAAAAATATTGTTGTCTACTTCTGCTGACATGTTTGATATAAGTTAATGGCTTTGTTCTATCTGCATCATGCTTGTAGTTGGCACGATTTTGGGTTCTGAAATACTCTGTCAAAACAACTACGAAAAAAAGAGACAAACCACAAACCAACCTTCACACACTCCCATTTGCTCCTTTCACTACAAAATGTTACAAAATATCTCCAGGTACAGAGTCACATTACCTCAGTTATGTTGGTACAGGCCAATTCTGCCATTTGATTTTTTCCCCCCTCCTCTCTTCATTCCTATTACTAAGAGAATATTCACAAAGTCATGCCGTAAGTGGCATAAGTTCACTGAAGTTATTAGCAGTTCCCTTGAATCTGGACTAGGAAGTTCAGGAACTTCAAATCCCTCACTTCATTTCATAAAAGTGCAGGAATGATTTTAAATGTGACATCCCAAGTGTATGACTTTCATAAACACCTGATTCTGTAATGACCAAAGACAGTCTTTTTTTTTTTTAAGTAAGATAAGGAAAAAGATGAAGAGTAAATTGCTTTGGCAATATTAGGCTGCACAAACAGTGTGCAACAATACTACTATCTGTATTAAAACCGCTGAAGCATAATATTATATTAACTCATGTTTTCTGTTTAAAACCAAACTCTTTTGAAAGTGACACCTCAACAAAATTTCAATGAATTAACATAGTAACAACAGAAAGACTGTGGTCTATGACTGAAATTCTGAAAAGTAGTATTTCACAAAGGTTTTGGGTTCTGTTCAAAGTAATTTGGCATACCTATAATTTAAACCCATCTCCCTGCTGTTTAGAAGGGTGAGGGCTGGAAGCACGTTGTATTTTTCTTATGAAAAGGCAAGGACAACCAAGTAATGTGTCAAACTTAACATGGTTGCTGCATACGTCTCTAATTAGCATCATTCAAAATATCACTGCTGTTACAAGACCAGAGAAAGCACTATCACTTGCAGTACACCTAGGTGAATAATATTTTAGGAAATTAAAGGTAGAATGAAGCTACTGATACTCTTCATAATTTGCTGACAGAGATAAATATCCCTGTTCAAGTAAAATTAAATGGAATTGACCTTGTTTCTGGTCCCTGATGACATACAAATTCAGTTGTCTGTATTCTGAAATTCCTCAGAGAGGGTTGGTTAGTTTAACAACCTCAATTAAGGTGCCTTAAATTATTTCCTTTGCCACATGTATCCATTCTTTATTTGCAGTGGGTCATGCATTTCCTTTGTTTTGGTCTTTCTCTTACTCACATGCACAGGCAGAACCAGTGACCCACCCTACTTTCTCTACTAATTATTCACAATAGTAGAATGGTCAGCAAAATGCTCCGACGTCATACTGACAAAAGAATTGGCTACAAAATAAGCCAGGCATTTGACTTCCTATTCTACAGAGATTTGCTTCACTATCCTTCTTGTTCTACAGCGTTGTTCATTTTACAGTTCCAAAGTGCTATATAAAAAAGCATTATTAATTTTACATAAAGAAAAGATAGTGTATGCATTTAGATATTCTCTCCTCTCCAATTTAAAATAATTTACTGTAATGATACAATTTCTGGAGAGAGGCTATACTACGCGTATTCAGAGATGTTACTTAAGAGTGAAGACTCACATTCCAAGGGGTAAGTTAGAACAATACAGTAACTATCACTAATACAAGTAAATCCACAAGATTAAGTATCTGTTGTATAATTATTGCTAAGTCTACCCTGCATTTTTCTATTGGCTATGTATCAGTAACTTTGCTCATCACAACGTTTAGATTTTCAGTCTAACACAAAGGAAGACCTCATAGAAAATGTTACATGAATTTACTATTGTCAGAACACTAATAATCTATAACTTGAATGCACTCAGACCTGTAGCAGGCTGTTGCTGCTGAGTAAGTGTTGCAGCCATTGCAACGGCTGCTGCATTTGGTATGTTGCTGAAAGGGGTCGGTCCAGTGGTAACGCGTGGCGCGCTTTGCCACTTCTTTGCTTCTGTTCGTCTTGCCTCAAACACATCCATGGCATCTCCCAGAAAGCTTTTCCTGTAGCCAAGGTATTGGTCTTTGAGCATCTGAAGGGGATGGGAGGAAGCCATTTTAGTTCCATTTATCAGACATAAACCCTTAACTTAATAAGGAAAGAGACATTGAGTTATAAATAACATTTCCTAAAAGAACAAAGAAAAACCCACAAAAAGCCAAACCAACAAACACCACCACCAAAACAAATGAGAAGCTCCCTCCAAAACCCAAAAAACCTTGTCAGGTTATGAGATAGAAAGAACTGGTTTGCAACAGCCACAGCCAGAACAGGCTGCAATACTTAAATTCTGCAAAGCCATTGAGGATAACTGATACCATTCAGTATGTCAGCCTGTGTCTTTCAATGTTGGAGCAAATCACCACAATTCTATTTGAATCACTGTACTTAGCTGATCCAAGAGGAAAAATAAAGCCACATTACTAGCTTATAAAATAACACACTTTTCTTCAGTGCTACCTTTCCACCATGGAGTCTGCTTTTGCTCCCTATCACCTTCACCTGTGTTTCTTTCCTTCCTTTCACTCTTGCATTTCTTCTTACCAAAGAGCTAAGTTTTCGAATTCACTCTTGTTTCTGATGCATTTCATTAGCAATGTGACACAGAGCAAATGCAACAGATCATTCTGCCTTAGGGTAACAGGAAGCCCACATCTCTTGCCCCATGATGCCACACCCTCCCTTGCCTCTGCCCTTTCCCCCCCTCAAAACTCCACCACCTTCTGTGGCAATAGCCCAGCTTGGCTTGTTCATCATGAACAATTTCTGTCTGTCATAGCTGAGGAAACTACAGGTATCTTGCATAGCAAAAATGGAATAAAAAGCTTTAACTAGATAACTGATAATTATTTCCATTTTATAACAGGAAATCTTTAAATGAAATAGATTAAAGGACAACAGTTTCCAGTTTATAGAAGGCATACTATGGTCCTGTGCTCCTGGCTAAGCATAAGCTTGTTTCCTCAAAGAGGAGTTTGCAGTCCAAAAACTCTCACTCAGGATTTGAACCCCTGTAATTCCAGATCAACCAGCAACAGCAGGAACCACACAAAGAATGCCCCCATTATCACATTAGAAGTGCTGTCTTTGGAGAGAAAAGACAATTGTAAAATTCTGATGGAATTTAATAGAATAGCATGCTGACTGCCCTAAGAGTTGACAAAATCCATTAGAAATCATAAAGCAGTTTTTAAGGCTATACTATGCTGAATGATTTAATAACATTACCTACTCAAATTGTGCCCAAGCACACTTACTTTTCATCAGGCAAAGAAATGAACTATGATCACAGCTCTGCCTTCCACAAACCATATCATAACCATCAGGTTAGGCAGAGACCAGTTTCAAAACTGCTCTCCCCCCCTTCTAGCATCTTGTAGCTGAGAAACTAAAACAGATGGTTATAATGACAGATTCACTTAAGCAGTATGCATCTTTCTGTTTTTTTGAAGCTCTATTTATAAAATGCCTTCCAAAATACCAGCATCCATATTCACCCACTAGATTAAATCTCAAAAAAAATTCCCAGAAGAAAAATCTTCAAACCACCCCCTTAATTTCAGGCAATAGATTTCTACTCTAAATTAAAGAAAAGTCTTTCCTGTTCAGTCACACTGACAAGTACTGAAGATGCTATGGCTTACATCTGCACACTAATCCAGCTGTTCATATGTATCCTCACAAAGACCACTGCACAAACTCAGGCTACACTCAGATCTCAGAAGCCATGAGCCCTGAAAACATTTCGGAAATCTTTCAGGTAATTCTGCTGAAAATATGGATGAACTGATGCATTCTACACCTGGCAGCAAAACTGAATGAATTAAGAGCAGCACAAATACCTGCTGGCAGGTATTTGTAAACCAGTGAGTATCTATGCTGACAGAAGCAATGCAATGAATCAAGATCATACAAGACCCTCAGTATTTCTGAACTTTATTCAGAAAAAGTAAAAAACTTCAGATGCTTAGAGAACTAGCAATGCAGTGCAGAAGAAGCTCAGAGAAGGAAACCAGAAGAAGTTTTAACAGAGCTATTTCCATTAAGGAAGTCACTTAGCAGAAACAATTTCAAACATTTGTACTCTTCAAGTTGGTTTGTTTTGGTTCGGTTTTTTGTAGCCAAGAAGGATTCTGATGTTTTCAAGAAAAATCATGGATTGAAAGGATTGGAGGACAGTGACATTTTGTCAACATATCCAGAACAGTAAATAGGAAAATGGAAATGGAATGAGCCCTAATCTGTGATGGAAAAAACAGGCCTAATTAGGACCTTTGATACCTAAGCCTTGACACTTTTCTTTTTCTTTCTACAAATACTACTTATCCTGAAAGCCAGGTTTAAAAACAATAAATGAACAGCACACAACTTTCTAACCAACAGTCTTTGATATGCTAAAAAATCTCACATATGGAAAGTCACTTTCTTTTTGTCCTGTTACCTATTTGAGCAAGAGCAGATTTAGATCATCTTTGCTTGAGATCAAGAGGTCATTGGGCAAAAATCAAAACACATAAGCATGATCTTGAAAACAGACATTTTAAAAATCAACAATTAGACGGAAAGGAGTTAAATGAAAAACATTTTGTAACACAAATGATTGTGCTCAGTTGCTGTCATCCCTATTAGTAAATACTTTAAATGCAACTTCAGTTGAACAAAAGCTAGTTTTTAATCAAAGCACTTCTCCAGGACAGTTTGAAAATTTTTTAAAGCAGTCAATTAAACAGAAGGACAAAAAAAAAACCCAAAAAAAACCAAAAACAAAACCACCAAATAAACAAACCCAAAACAAAACTACCTGAAGGTGACCCTTTAGAGTCACACAGGAAATACATAGGAACACATCAAAACATACCTTTACATTTTCATGTATTGACTGAAGTTGTGCAGCTAAAGCTACAAATGTTTGATAGATTTTCTGCATAGCCATAGACAAATCTGTAAGATGCACATAAAATACTGGTAAGTAACAATCTCATTATCAGAAGAAAAGATTTAGTGTTTGTACCAAAGTAAGGAAATCACCTATAACCCATACAGCGCACAAAACACAAACAATTTCATAAATGAGATTTGAGCAAGAAATTGGGTGCCACAAATTATCCAAGGAAATTAAAAATAATTAATAAACGTTAATGAATTAATTATAATTAATAACTTTCCGACAGGGCTTCCAACTTTATTTTGAAAGGTACTGTTTTCTCAGATTTATTTTTATGTACATGGTAAAAAGCTTCCTATGACTCCATTATATAGAAAAAGTAACATTTAAACTAATTGTAACCTAATTACATGGGAACATTTTTTACTTCACTGGCTTTTACCTAGATACATTAAATCAGATTTGCTTGCCTTTGTATATATTTTCCACTCTTTCTGACTTAAAACATACTTTAAGTGTTCAGTTGATTTTGTCAGAAGTAGTAGAATGAAAGCTTTATTTACAATTTAAAGACATAATTAATAAACATCACAGGATCTCTTAATCTAGCTCTACCAACAAGGATATCGTAATCACAGAAACACCAACAGGGAGCTTCTTGCCTTTTATTTGGGATATCCTACTTCCCACAGAGATATAAAAGTATTTTCAGGGCACTGACCCAACACTAAGGCAAAACCTTAGCACTAAAGGGAAAATCTCAAGGATTTTGGCAGAATGAAGTATCTGCTCACAAAAAAATGCTGTTCTCATAGAAGCATTGAAACAATGTACCAAAGTGGAGGACATAAAAGTACTGAAGTTGTTCTTTCATTGTGAAAAGATCAGCTACTATGTTTCCTCCGAATGATACACATAGCTTGAACACAAATATATTTAGATATATGTACACTGAAATGCATATAGTAGCTATCAAGTTCTTGAAGATGTATAAATCTAGTAATGATTCTTGAACTGAAAATGTTTGCCTGTCCATAGAGGAATTTCACCCTTGAAAAACAGGAAAGCTGTAGAATCAATTCATGCCAGCCCACAGGGCTGTGGAAGCAGCAGTATCTAGGAAGACTGGTCACAAGTTTCAAATTGGTCTGGAGGCAATTTGCTGATACTGACTACAAGATATTGCAAAATTTTCAGGACATTGAGTCATGGCAATCTGCATGGCAAATGAAGTTGTTTCTGTATGGTAACAGCTACATATGCAATAGTGTTGACTAGATCACCAGGTACTGCTGACAATATGCTCAAACTGACAACAGATTGAACCTTGCCTACACAAGCAAGGAACCTTTTGATTATAGCAGAAACTGCTGGAAACCTTAGGAAAACCTGTGAAGGCATCCTTCTCATATTCTTGATGGAGAAGATGGTCACACAAAGATAGAAAACCCTCAAGATTCACCAGATCTTTTACTATGGAAGCTAGATCTAGACAGTCCTCTTGCTTTTTGACATATAAAGTCCATATAAAATTTGTGCACCATTCTGAGATGGCAAGATGTTCAAGTAGCACTTAGCACAAAAAGACAAGCACTTGAAATCATTACTTATTGCAGGACCTGTATCTAAAATGGCCCAGAATATAAAGCTGTCTATGACCACAGGAATGGTAAACAACCAGAAGACTACTCCCCAGAGGTCAGCATTCTTTGACCAGAGAGATTTTCTCAAGATTAAATGATGTGGCAGCAAACAAAATAAAATGTTCTCAGTTGTTCAGAATTGACAGCAAAACCAACAGGCTGCAAAATAAGGAAAAGTTCTCATTTTGATCTGGTGCTGACAGACCAGGCACCTGCATTTGTCTGGCCAGAACGCCAGTGCAAAACAGAAGGTGCCAGACATCAGCTAGATGGTGAAGGGAGATGCAGATGTAAAAACAAACCAGGCTTAAAAATCTCAACTTAGTAAATGGATCCATGTTAAATAGCTCAAGAACCCTTATGAATGGAACTTTTAATTCCAAATCTTTACCTTGAGCAACTACAGAATTCATCTGAACACTAATTTGTTCAGTACATTAAATGAGAAAACCCAACAACGAAAGAGGGGAAAGTTTAATTATTAAGTTATCATTATAAGTTGCTAAATTCTTTGTGTACAAAAGATTAGAAGTGAAACATTTACCTTGTGGAGTTATGTGTGAATTATTTGCTTGAGTAGCAAGATGATTTTCCAGTTCTTCAATTTGTTGCCTGTACTGCTGCAGCTGTACTTCAAACTGTTCGACCAAGATTCTGAAGTAGCTAGATAAGTAATACAGTGAAATTGCATGATTAAACTTTACTAATTTGTCTGAACTTTTTTACCTGATCTCTGTTAGCTGCCAATTTTTGTTCAATTAATTGCATAGTTAGGTTGTATGACACTGTTGATGTCACTCTACAATCGCAACAAGAGTGAAGGGTATTTTTCATGTTGAAGACACAAAGATAATTTAAATGAAGAAATAAAACACCGATTCTATGAAGCATTCCGTACACATGTTCCGTACACAAGAAGCAAGGGAAAAAAATTATATTATGAAGTTCATAGAATCTTTAAACAGCTGGGTTGGACTAGATGACCTTGAAGGGTCCCTTCCAAATCCCCTGCCATAAGAAAGGATATCCTGACCTTGAATGCTTCCAGGGACAGGGCATCCAATATGTCACTGGGCAACTTTTTCCACTTTTACCACGCTCATCGAAAAAGTTTCTCCCTTGAATCTGCCTGCTTCAGTTTAAAATCATTGTCCCAGTCATAATAGGCCCTACTAAAAATTCTGTCCCTGCTTTTTGTACAAGTGCCTGTTAAGTACTGAAAGGCTCCAATAAGGTATCCTCAATTTTCCTCTTCTTCAAGTTGTATTACTGACTATTTTCTACGAGTAACAGTAACTTACTCTGCTGGGGCTGTATTTTCATGCTGAAGACCAGGAGGAGTTTTCTGTGTTCGCAGTGCTATTTCCGCATTCTTTAGCTCCTAAATAAACAAGAGAAAATTAATAAAATATAAGCTTCTGCACAAAGTGTTCAAAAATAAAAATGCTAGGACTCTACTCTTCACTCACATAAAGTATTTTCTTCATGTATTTAACACTGTGATAAAATTTGATCAGAATTTATCCAAAGAACTGACTATCAGAAAGTTGGAGAACTGCAAATACCAACAAAAGTTCGGGGACAGAACTAAAGATAGCACATACTGAAAGCACATTAAGTGCTCAGAAGTTGAGAAAATACTACGGTAAACTGTCAGAGGCAATTTTTTTAATTTTACTTCAGAAATATTGTAATTATTGAGGGGTAAAGGGGGAAAAAAAGCAATAGTCAAGTACAAGGAAGTAACACACCTAAAAGAGAAAAAATAGGAAAAAAAGGATTATTTTGACTTTTAAAAAAACATAAATCACTTTAGAAAAACGCCTCTCTATGGAAATTATAATGTTATACATGATAATTACAGTATACACTTCTGCTTAATACTTCCTAATAATTTTACCATTAAGAATTTCTCAGTGCCTGGTTCTGTGACTATACTCAATTGAATTATGTACAGAAATATAAAAATATCATTAACTAGCTTTTGTTTTCACAGAAAATTGCTGAAAAGGGGCAACTATAGAATACAGAAAAACATCAAATTTTTGACTTGAGAATAAATTATCACTTATTTACATGCTAGTTGAAATAAAGGTGGTACAGAACTTGAAAAGCATCTGCATCAGAACTTGAGATCAAACTGTCTGCACAGTTCAGGCACAGACTGGTGGACAGATATGTGACTTAAGTTCCCTAAATGAATAGTAGTGCTTATCAAGAAATTTTGGTCCCTAAAACATTATAGGGTAATCTGGTATTTTTTTTCCTCCAAAGCCATCAGAAGAACATGTCTTTGTATTTTTTCTGCTCCAGAGTCTATCATGTTGTTACAAATGTGTCTTTACTAGCAGCTGAATGTATTACTAAAATTGAACTAAAGTGCACACACATTCCCGTCTATTGCCTTTGCTATGTAGGACTGCTTTCCTGAATAGAAGTCATTTTACTGCTGTTGTACTTATCTAAAAATACTGACAGCACAAATTTCAGATTCCCCCAGTAACTTCAAAGAGATCAGAAGTGATTCAATTTTTCATTCTGTTTACAGCTGTTTAGTTGGGACACATGTTAACTTGACTGATAAAAAAGGCTAGCTATTCTATATTAAATAATCAGCATACAAACTCTACATAACAAAGGTTATATTCAATTATACCTGTGCAGTTTCAACTTTCAGCTTGTCAATATTAAGAATGTTTCTCTGTAACCCACTGGCAACTACAGAGAGAAGCTGTTTCAAAGCTTTAATGTCTTCTTGAACTTTAAGCATCGCTTTAGAGGACATTCTACTAATTTCTTCCTGAACTTGTTTTTGTTCTTTCACAAATTTCCTGGGGAAGGTAAAAAAACAGGGGTGGGGAGGAAAGAAACATTAGATAATGAACCTGAAGTACCCATGTGTTTACCTCTCGATCACATTATTTAAATAGATATTAAATTTATTTTTCCAAAACCAAGTACTGAACAGTAAAATTACCGTAGGGCATAGTACTATCTTAACTCCTAGCATGCTAATACTGTAAATAATTGAACCAAAACAAAAGCAATCCCCCTTCCCCAAATTCCTCAATTTTAAATAGTAAGTGTTTAAAAATGTTATGTTGACCCCTGACAAACTAAGATATACAGAACATTTTATATATACAGTAATTCATAAGCATCTGTGTAAAAGCAACTATCACTTTGAACTCACAAATACAAGGCATGCAGCCCAGTCTACAAACCATTTCCTTCCTGCCCGAGAGAAGACACTTATAATTCTCTATTCCATACAAGATCCAAGATGCACATGCAATACGGATATAAGGTTCGATGCTCACTATGCATGTGCAACAGGCTTAATACTCCGAGAAAAATGTAGCCTTCATGCAGCCTGCAGGAACATGTTCTTGTCACAGAGCATCAACAGTATACAATACTTTAGCTAAACAACCATCATAAATAAAAACCACTACTCACTGTAAATTTTCTACATCTTGACATATAACTGGAGGTAGATTTTCATCCTTCAGCGCTTTGCTATCTCTACGAGAGACAATGAATGTTTAGGTGGTCCTTCAATACTGCCAAACATTTTTGCATGTCTAGTAAATATCACTGAACATTCAGGTGAGTGATTACACAGTTTTGCACTCGTTGCATGAATATTGCAACTAGGAGTGACTTGGATTAACACATACAGATCCTATGCCAGGGTTCAAGCCTGCGGCGTGAGAACTTTGCAAGTTTGCAGACACCACATTTCGGATCAGATGATCGGTCTATGGCAGATGCCAGACAAGCTGTAGGTATTGCATTTGAATGAAGAATTGCTTAAAATCATGACCAAACATTACTAAATTACCTATATGGCAAATGTTGGTTATGCAGATCTTTTTTCAATATCAAACCAGCAGAAAAGTGAAGATATTTGTTTAGTTTTTTTCTATTATAACATGGAACATACAGAAAATCTGACACTTACTCTGGTCTTGTTCCTGTTTTGTCACCTAGAAGATAAAAAATGTAGGTCATAAATAAAGCTTTGAAGAACAAACAAAAGAATCTTAATGAGATTTTAAGGAAGAACTAATGACTACAATCTATTTGATTTCTCATGATAAGTGGAATAGAACTGGGCTAGCTGTAAGAGAAAGTGGGTTTTAATTTACAACCTCTTCAGAGGTAACTATATTTTCAAGAACAATGGCTCAACAGTTGAAGTGCTAACTTCTTGGCACTCTGAGTAACAACCTCTTGTGTCACTACACAAGTCACTACAAACACATGAACAACTGCAGTTGCGTAAGAAACCTGTTCTGCTTATGCAACCTCAACTCACTTTGACCTGAACCCACAAAACATTCAAGTGTTTAAATTCAGCAATGGCAGACTCCTCTCAGATATGAAAGTAATGAACATTTTCCCACTGAGCTTCCTCAAAGAATTCTGCTATTGCATTAAGTCCAGAAGTGAGTGAGATTTTACAGAACTGAAAATACTACGGCTTACCTGCCACTACACACTCTAAGCTGCACATCTGTGGATCAAGATGCCAAATGCCTCTGAGTGACAGAACTCAGCATCATGCATAACAGGGCACAACTATTTCTAGTTATGGCTGTGGCAGTAATTGCATTCCATCCCACAGCAGTCTGCTAGGAAGAGCACTCACTCAGCCCAAGAAAAGGGCTTCACCTTCTTCAGCTGAATATAATTCACATCCTGTCAGAGCCACAAAGGCAGAAAGCAGCTACACAGCTAATGCTAGTACCACAGACATCTGAAGCTGCACAAGTCAGTGCTCCTTCCAGCAGAAAGTAATACTTTTAGAAGCAACATCTATTTAAACTGTTAGCAGACTGTCACCCAGGACTTTAGACTGCACTCACAACCATTCCCTATGGCTTCTACTAATGGGAAAAAAAATATCTACACGAAATTGGGGGGGGAAAAGCATGATGGACAAACACCAGAATTTAGGACTTCATCTAAATGATAATCTAAAAAATAGGCAGAAAGCTATGCACACTTTGCTTTTGTACTCCCGACACTTCTTTCTGTTGAAGTTGTTGCTGTATGACACAATACTTACAAGACAAAACTTTGACATCAGATTTTGCTACTTTCTAGGAAAGTAAGTGCTTCAGATTTTACTTTTTTTAACATTCTCTTAGTAATACAAGAAGAAAATATGAATTAGAACAGGTTTTTTGTCCCTGCAGCCATATTTTAAAGAAATACTAGATGGTTAGAAGCAAAGACTTTTATTACCAGTTCCAGAAGAGAGAACACAGGCTAGTGCTGGGATTGCTAGGGCACTTTTCTTTCATAGCCATTTCACCTCCTTCCTTTTCTTCATGAGCAAAAGTGAAATAAAACCCTCAAAACCATGGTGCCACCACTCTCAAATCTTAATGCAGTTCCTCGTACAGTAGTACAAACAAGTGAAATGACAGAACTAAGTAGCAGCACACAGGTAGGGATATTTTTAAGGACTGCTTAAGCTAGCACTAACCATTAAGGGAAACCCTTCTGAATTAAAATCTGAAAAAAAAGTCTCCTTTGACATTTCCCACTGCTTAGCTAAGGGATCTCTGCTCATCCGGACAACAACAGTCCAACTCAGCAGCTCCACTATACAACATACAGGGGAATTCAGGTTACTCATTTAAGTTTCCATCCTAACAGGTGAACTAAACAACACTACTATCAAAGTAGATTTTCACTCTCTGGCTCTCAGGTCCTTATTTTATGATATTTGTATGTTATGGAAGTATTGTGATATCCAAATATTATAGTAATGGAAATCCCCTAAGTGTCAGGGCCTTTTTATTACCCCAAGTTTCAGTAATAAATTCTAAAAACAATCAACATCATCCAGAGTACTCCAGTTTTGACAGTCAATATGTTCTCTCTTTTACAAGTAAAAACTCTCTCTCCACGAATTATGCTACTCTCTAAGCTGGTTTCATGGAGCTTATGTATTTTCTTCTCTTAACTGTTGGCATACCTAATTCAAAATTTCAGTCCTGAATGAAATAAAGAGATTAAATTAACAGATTCACCAGTAGAAGCAAGGCAAATTAACAAGAGCCCATATGTCAATGCTCAATATTCCCTTACTTAAGTACTTTAAAGCTATCACAGAAGTAAAGTTTTTATAACTGCTTTTAACAACCTGACAGAACATCTCATATATAACTACACACCACCACAAACAGTTTGAAAGAGTAACATCTAAAATTAGGACACTTTAGTTGTGCAGGCTTTCAAAAGAAAAAAACAAGTTTAAGATCTGTTACAGCTGGACAACAGCAATTTCAACCCAGTGCTCTCCATACTTGTAACACACTACTTAAACATAGCTCCGCTCCTCCCTCTAGTGACCATCTGACACGGCAGAAACCTGCGACGGCATCTCTGCAAGCAGCTCTGAGTCTTCACTTCCAAGAAGCTCAAGGATTTACATCCTGGTTCTCAAGCTTATATATATTTTTAAATTAATAATTAGTATTACATTGCATTTGCAAACACAATCTTGCTCTTCTGTACAAACACAATATCTAAGAATGAAATCAACTGAAATGCCTTTGAAAGAGCGAAATTAAAGTTGTCAACTTTAATTCCACATTCCTAACCCAATACAAGTCTTTGCTGCAGTGTTCTGATAATCATCTCAATTTAAAAAATGTTTTAAAACAAACTTACTCTTTTTGTCTGAAGAACTGCTAAAATCAATGCCACCAAGACCTTCACTGGCAGTAGTCGAAGGAGCTGCAGTTGTCCCCAGAGACAAACCCAAAGCATTCTGTCCAAGTCCTACAAAAAATCCAAACAGTATTTTCACCTTTTGCAGTGTTATCAAGACTACAACAACAGCACAAATTCTTCCTCTAGAGCTAAAAAAGGAAGCAATGAAATGACAGTGAAGTCTCTGACAACAACACTGACAGTGAAATATTTTATTCAGACCAACACACACCAAAAATAGCGAGCTTTCTATTTCTCCATAGATAGTCATGTATCATTGTTCTCTCCCCATATGTCATCAACTTCCTTGAGCCAATAATGGGAACGACAAAGATTCCCTTATATTTTCACTTCTGAAAAAGTGTTAAGTAAAAATTAATTTAAAAATAAGAAAGGAGACAATTTTTTCAGTTTCATTTTTATTGTCTATGGATAGCAACACTGTTCTTAACTTATTAACACTGTTAAAAACTACACTTCCACAGTGTTAACACTTTCTATAAACTAAACCTTACATTGTACAATCACACATTAAATGTCATTGTTTCGAGACTGGAGAAAAAACTAAAATAACTTTCACCTGTTGCCGCTGTGCTTGTATTCTGGAAGAGTGAACCTCCTAAGCCTGCTAAGGCTCCTCCTAAGGAAAGGCCTGTGGAAGCAGTTGTAGTTGGAGCAGTTGTGCCACCCAAATTTAATGTAAAGCCAGTAGTTCCTGTAGAGAAAAGAAACCAGATTAATGCAGACACTGCCTTCAAATACATCCACAGACAATCTAAAATAACTGAAAGGTCTGAACAGCAACAGCATCTTTATCATAATTGGATAATAAATGTTTTTATTTCCTGCAGAGTTTTCACACAAAGCCATAGCCTTTTGAATTACATGTTATTTTGCTTTGCAACCTCATAACCCTAATTAGTCCATATTTACCTGCAACTATACAAAAATTGTGGCAGTCGCCCAGACCATTACAGATTCTAGAACCTAGGACAGAATTTATTTTACAGCATAACTGAACTAGTAAATGACAGTGATTTTTATACTAAAATGCTGAAATTTCATTGTTTTAACATTAAAATATTTACACAAGACACATGCTACAATAACATTTCCATGGTGGTTTGAGCTGCCTTCTGGAATACCAATTAAAAATTATTAGTAATAAAGGGAAGAACTGAGTAGAGAAAGACCACAGGCATAAAGGGACAGTGAACAGAGGACACTGAGCTCGGAGAGGTGAGCTCAAATGCAGACTTCGAAAGTTAAGAAAAATAAGAGTCTCAAACACCATCATGCATGGTGCAGTTCAGCTGAGTTAAATATGATGACAGGAATGATAATATGAGAAGTAATTTAAAATGTTTAAAAACATTATTTCCAATGCTAGTCAACCATTTCAGGCCATTCCCAATAGGTAGACATTTCCCAAATTTGCAGCTGCATAAGAAGGAAGCTTTCAATCTTTAGTGAGGTTAACAATAAGAAAAATAATTGTACATGACAAATCAGCTCTTGCTACACCTCTAATGACTTGGATTATATGCTGTCTATAGCACTAGGTTCTCTGACCATAATTCTGTCGGTATTAGGGTACCCAAATTTAGAACTCGAGAAGTCCAATGAACCCCTTTATTCATGGACCACAAGATTACATAAATGATAGAAAATGATAGAAAAACAGATGTGGAACTGTTATACAATGAAGTTTTATTGTTAACCAGCAAACAAAAAATAGCCCCATACCCCTAAACATTTTCCTACCTGCTGCAGGAGTTGATGTAAGAGCAGATGATAATGACAGGCCACCCGCTGAGGTAGAAGTAACAGGTAAAGCAAATGGCGTGGCTGAACCTGCAGGTTTGCTGAAACCTAAACTAAAGCCTGTGGTAGCTGCTGATGTGGTGGCAGGTGTGCCTAGAAGAAATCCAAAACCAGTTATCACTCTTGAAACATTCTGTTTGAGAATGAAAGCTCACCACCTCTTCTGCATCTCACTTAACCAGCCTGAGTGACACAGCACAACAGATCACTTGCATCAAGTAAAATATTCCCACAGAACTTTCTAATGAATTTCAGTGGTTTACATCAATTGCACAGGCATTTTTTGCTCCAGAAATCCTAGGGATCCAGTGGGCTTTAATTCTGGACTGGCAATTATACCTACTAGAATCCTAAAACTGTATTGAAAAAAACTCACTTCCACCAAAAGCATCTAGTAGATGACACAAGCATTGGAAAATGGAGCTATAAACAATACTGCTCAAAACACAGACTATAAATTCCCAATTAGACAGGCACACCAAAATGAATGCAAATGTTACTCCCTCAAAGCTTTTAAACATTTTTGAAGCAAAACAATTTCTAGTTCCTGCTGTTTTCATAGTAAGAACACATTTCACGTTCTAGAATCCCTATTACAAAGTAAAGGAGTGTGCACGTACATACTCAAACCACAACAGCAAACACATACTTTGTATTCTCAGTAACTGCTGTTCTGGATGACATAATTTCATCCAGCTAGTGAAAAGAATTAATGTTCATCTGCATAGTACTGACTTCCACATGACTATGTATCACACAGCCTCTCCTGGGTTAGCTGCTGCTTCTCTCCTCTGCCCTTTTGATTTCCTTCTTTATTCAACACTATTTGTACCTATTTATTCATAGTATGGCTTCCTAAGTTCTTTGACTGCATTGTGTCTTGTAGCACCTCCACCCTTAACATCAGTGATAACCAAACTCAGTTACTCCTCAGACTTCAGCTGCTGTTTAAAAAGAAAAACAAAATCAAAACCAAGCTAACAGCAACCCATATACTCCTGTGTTTCTAATGACAACTACAAAATACTCACCACAGATGGATCAGAAAAACAAAAAATATTCTCAAAGTCTGTTCCCAGTTCTATCCTCTTTATTTTTCTTAAAGAGATAATTACCAAACAAACATGTTCACACAGGATTCACTAGACCAAGAGATTCTGTAAAAATAATTCTTTGGTAACAGATCTCCCTTTCCCTCTGCTGAAGGATGAAACTAATTAGGGGAACATAAATACAAAGTCCAACTTCTGACTGTCATTGTTGTACAAGAACTGAATCCTTTAACAAGTAAGAGTGCCCAGAACTTCAGGGCTCCATTCTGATTTACAGCCTTAACATTTGGGTTGCAAAGCAAACAGCAATTAGTTATAGGGAAAAAAGCTCACATGTGATCACTAGCTCCATACATTACAAGAAAGATTTAACTCTTGGGGATTTTTGTCTCTGTAATATTAAAATCCAAATTAGGTCCTTACCTAATGTCAGTCCTGTAGCAATAGTTGTTGCTGTTCCTGCTTTAAGAATAAGAACAAATGAACAGGGTAAGAATAGAAATAGAAGGCCACAGAGAAGCCGTGACAGTAAAAAACATGAAACAAAATCCTGAACTAATGCAACATTATGAGACAGCTATTACACAAGTTCTTTTTCTGTAGTGTATTGAAAAATAATATACTAACACAGAAAACAGTATGGGTAAACACCAGCAGCAGAAATTAAAGCACAACTGATTTCAAAAAATGTAACTTGTCTTTGCAAGATGCTGCTAACAGTGAAGCTGATGTTAACACAGCAGTATATTATCTGAAATTTCAAAATTCTAGAAATTGTACCATGTATTTTTTTAGCCACATGGTAGTACATAACATCAGCATGCAAACCAGCAGATTTACAGTATAATAAAAAGGATTATAAAGTCCTTGTAAAATCCTGTCTAGGTTTAGGGTTTCTGGCCCACTTTAAAGAGACTATTCTGGATGCAGTGTTAGGCCACTTCATATTTTAAAAACCATCTGATTAGATTACCAAAAGAATCACTGAAATAAAATTACCCCAATGTAGCCAACCACAGTAATACAAGCTTTCAGTCTATTGCTGATTTTATTTTTAGTAGATTGGTCCTTAGAACTTTCCCCATCTACTCATATAAGCATACAAGAAGAAAAAGACCATTTTATCTAGCAATACTGCAGCAAAGTAAAATTTATGTTTGCTTGACAGCTGAAAAAACCCACCCTGTCTGGAAAGCTTTTTTAATTTTGTACTCCATTAATGCTATAAGAAGCTGTGTGTTCACAGGCTGAATTAGAGACTTAAGAAAATATTCAATTCCTTCAGGCATATTGCATTAAATATCCCCAAACAACAAACTCAGAAATGTTCACTACTGCAGAATTACAAGTATTGCATTACAAATGCAAACAATCTCACAAAGGTTTAAACTACTTTTAAAATCTAAATATACCTCAATCTTAAGTCAATTCTGAGCATCCTGGATGAAAAGTCAAGATTTTTAAAATACACCAGGATTCAAACTACAAAACAATTTACACATAGCCCAGGAAATTTTCTGGTAATTGCAGTTGTCTTTCTGCTGCACTGGTACCACTTAATTCTTAATGAATAATCTTTCAAACTACTCAAAGAAGCAGCTTTATAAAATTGTAATATTATTCTAATATAAAATTGTAAGTAATATTCTGAGCTACAGAACGACTTAAAAGAGTAAACATTTTAGTATGACCCAGTTTGAGTAAATATCATTTATATCTTCACTGCTGAATCCAAAACTTGCAGTACAAGAATTCTTTTCTACCTGTACTGGTGCTTCCTAGCGTAAAGCCAGTGGTTGATTTTGATCCAAAAAGTCCACTCCCAAAACCCAATGAAGGGGCCGATGTAGTTGCCGTAGCAGTGGAAGAGCCCAGAGTTCCAAAATTAAGTCCTCCTGTTGAGCTATTACAAAATAAGACTATTAGCAGCAACTCTATTTCAAAATGAAAACACTCCCCCCTTACATCAATTTCTTTCAGATGCCATCATTCACTTTCCCGCAAACATCATTTATCACAAACAACCCAGCTGGGCAAGACAGAGTCCAAGCTCACTGCTCCTGAACAGAAAGGCGCTCATTCCCCCTTTCCTTCCACAGCTCTGTAACTCCCATTGCTCCCCTGGTAGTAACCCCAGCATTTGTTCAGCCAGTGCTGAGCTGATGGATCTTACTAGACCACTTAGAAATTTAAACTTTTCTCTGCCAGATATCTCATTCATTCTAATTGTTCTCTCCATGCTACTGAAAGGAGAGAACAAATGCTAGAGGAAGCACAGAGTTGATAACAAATCTGTATGATCTTTTCCAAGCAGGTTACAAGTCCAATTAGTTCTCTGACCAGAAATTTCAACCAGTGTTTCTTTCTTTCATTCTTAAGTGATAAGCAGAGACACAGAACCATTCACATCAACACCACAGCTTCACCCTATCTTACTATCAAAACACACTGAAGCATGAATTTTCTAACCAAAATGCTATCCTTTTGCACAGATTCCAACCACATGCCCACTGTATTTTTTCAGACTGTCTACCTGTCAGAAAGTCACAGAAAATCTACTTCCAGATCTACTTTTACAAATGAAGGGGAAGAGAAAGAGCAGAGATAATGAGATCAGTCATCACTAGGAAAATGAAGGCATTAATACTTCTTTTGGGTGACTACACATTTTAAACTTCATGCCAAACAGAAAAGAAGCTTTTCAATTAGCTTGTTTAACTGAACACAGGAGAATAATCATGGTTATCTCCAGCCAATGAAATTACAGCTACTAGCACCCAGATGAGGCTGTAGTTTTAAAAATTTTCTTCTTATTTGATGAAAGATCAGATGAATAATTTGTAGTAACTTCTTGGTCCCATTTGTGAGCCTTTTTAGAAACCAGGTTCAGTTTTCACAAACATTTTGCTTAAGTACAACAGCAACACTGAAATAAAATGCAATTTAGACTTCACCAAGGACTTTTATCTTTTAGATGTTCAGTATTCTCTCATTTCTCCCTTATTTCCCCTCTGTGTATGAGGGCAGCTCCTAAAATAACAAGTCAAACACAAAAGTAAATCCAAAAGGTACAATTAGCTCTTGAATTAGAACTTTTCAAGCTATCAATAAAACTGCTAATGGCAAGCCCAGTTGTCTGCAAGTTCAAAACTAGGCGTGAGTTGTTTTTTAGGCAGTAATTTGGGAAGCAGAGTGGCCAAGAAGTTTAGAAGGACAAAGATGCACAAACTGTCGCACAGGATCCACAGCCTTTCAGCTGTCTTTACTCCCAAAATTTCAACATACCAAACTGCAGCACCATGACCTAACTACTTGGAAACTTAAACATACAACGTGGTACTTCTCTCACTAGTCAAGAGCTTAGGTGTCTCATCTTTCCAGCAGATTACTCTTCTGTGAGAGTTTTTTGTGTTACAGCATTCCCATAGAAGAAAGCTAAGGTACAAACTGTGATATTCGGCACTACAGGAGGACAAAAAAAAAACCAAACCAAACCAACACAAATAAAATGAAGTGGCCTTTTTTTCAAGGTAGAAAGAATCCAAAATGTAGGAACAAAGTAACGGCAGCACTCTCACCAGCAGGAGAAAGCATGGGCGGAAGAACACAGATGGAAGGTCAGGTCAGTGAAGTCAGGTCTGAACTCTAATTCTAGAACTAGAATGAAGCACTGCCCCTGGCTGAAGAACACAATAAGCAAACAACAACTAAAAAGGAGTGCAAGTACCTGAAAGGCTGCTGGTGCAAAGAATGGATTAGATGGGTTTACATGTCACAGAGGCTTCCAGCCACCAGAATATAATCCTTGGTCATGTGACATTTATGCTTAGACCAGACAATGAAATTCTTTTTCTCCCAACACCTGGAAATATCATCTTAGACCCAGCTCAGAAGAACAGCTTCTTCTTACAGTCTTAAACATGTTCTCAAGCAAATTATCTCAGAGGAATGCTCAAGAACCAGTAAGAAGGCCCCTTCCTCTATGAGATTCTTTGACCAACAGCCCTGAAGACTGGTCCTGCTTGTAAAAATAAATAAATGAATAAAAATACGGAGCACCATACTGCTATTACTTAGCACGTATTAAACTTTTTTTAAGTGATAAAAAAAGCCAGCTGGAACATAAAAAAAGCCCACCAAACAAAAACATTTAAGTTCAATACAGAGTTTTTAAAAGCGCAGATCAACAAGACAAAAGAGTTTCTCTTATTTCAGTACATTTAGAAGAATGGTTTTGAATTAACAAACAGTATTTTAACTTGCTCATTTGAATCATAGGAAACCTACACTAAGAAGGCATAAAGCGAAAGAGGAAAAACTCTTTATCAAATCTACATAAGCTTTACTGTAGAAGTTAAAAAACCAAGCAAACAAAAAACCAAAAAAAAAAACCAAGAAAACCACCACAAGATAACTCAAAATCCCCAAACAATCCCCTTCCTCCAAAACCAAGCAGAAATAACACAACAAAGTCATCAATCTGTCACAACCACAACATTTACATTATTACAACAAACTCAGAAATCTTATTCCCCGCTCCTATGGGCTCCCAAAGAAGCAATACTGCCATTTAACCCAAGAATTAAATGGATGTCTTTCAGATCCAGATGTTCTGTTCTCTCCATCTCACAGTGCTATTTCCTGACAGTTCTAACAGGTATTTCCAAATGTTGCACCTTAAGCGAGGCTCCCTTGAGTAACCACCCCTGCCCATTTAGTTTACACTACAGTGATCTATTCTAAATACATTTTGGCAAGTCTATGACACAACAACCTTGAGCTTCAACAGAGGTACAACAGCAAGCAGGTCAGAATAAAGAGCCTCTGCAAGTCCAGTTGTGTGCAAAGAAACAGAAAACAGGGGGGGAAAAACCCCAAACCACTAACAAGAAAGACTTACCTATTATTCTGAGAAACCTAAACCATAACGCTTGGAGTACAGAGCCTGCTATACATCACATGCACAAAGTTCTCCTTTTACTCCAAGATACTATACACCGAATACAAGGTTATTTTTGTTAGAAAGGGTTAGTTCGAACCTAACTTCTAAAACACATAGAGAACATCTTTTGGACACCGAACATGTGGGCTCTGGCATCAACGTGCTCCACGCCGCGGACACAAACGCGGGCTGACTTCTGAGAAAAACCTGGATGCACATCTGATTCACATCCTGCGTTCAGAGCGCCAGGCTGAACCGTAGAGGGACGCATCCAAAGCCAAAGCAAAGAACAATAAGAACAGCAACTCCCTTAATTATTAGCTGCTGGACAGATCGCTCTCTACAGGCGCAGAAGAAGACAAGGCAAGGGAGGCCGGCGCAGACACGGCGCACCAAGGGCCCTGCGGCGGGGACTGCCGGAGCCCCGGGCCCCTTCGGGGGCGGGCGAGGCGCCGGGCCCGGGGCAATGCCTCGCTCACTCACACACGCACGGGCCGCCCCCGCCCCCCGGGGCCCGTGTTCAGGCTGGGCCCGGGCCCACGCGGCAGCCCCAGGCCGCAGGGGGCTGCAGGCACGGCCGAGCCGAGAGGAGCGGGGAGCCGCGTTACCTCGGCGTGGCGGTCCCGAAGGAAAAACCCCCGACTGCTGCTCCGCCTCCTCCTGCCCCGGCGGCCGCCGTGGAGCCCAGGGTGCCCGCGCCGAAGGAGAAGCCCGTAGACATGGCGGCGGCGGCGGGAGCGGCGGGAAGAGCCGGAGAGCGGGGCCGGGAGCCGGCGGCGAGGGCCGGGTCGCTGGGTGAGCGGGTCGGTGATGCGGTCGCGGCCCCTCAGCCCCGCATGGCGCTCGCCGCCACCTGCGCAGCGAGCGGCGACACCGAGCGCGCGGACGGACACCGGCCACGCTGCCCTCCGCGCGCCCGCCGCGGTGCACCACGGGACGGCCCGGCGGCCCTTAAAGGGACAGCGACGCGCGGGAGCCGCGCTGAGAGAGAGCGCCGGGGGCGCCGCGTCCGCCTGGGCCCCAGCACCACCAGGGCGGCTGGACCGTGGCACAGATTGACATATAACAGGTTCCATCTCAACGGCTGGAAACACTGCGGGAGTGACCGAGCACTCACCAGGTTGCCCAAATAAGTGGTCGTGGGGTCTCTAATGATTTTTAAAGGCTGCCTGGATGTGGTATTGGGCAAGTGGCTCCCAGTGGCCCTCGAGCACGTGGAGGTTACATATCATCTCCAGGGACAATAGAAAGAACCATCTTCAGGAATATCCCCGTGTGCGAGACTCACAGGACTGAAGCAGAGGCCTGCGTGACCAGGGAATGGCTCGCTTCCCACACATCTACTGTCACCCCATTGTTAGGAAAATTAATCCAAGATGCCAGTGGTTTAATTCAAAAAAGGAGACAGAGGAGTCCTGTAATTTTATTGGAATAAAGGGAAACTCTGTGTGGCATTTCCCATGGGGGTCTCTAAAATTATTGGGGAACGCAGCCCCCTTTTATGCCAAGTTCCCAATCACCCTCTTCTTTTTCCCAACTGGCTGAGGTACTCGGAAGGTACAGACTTCCCAAGACACTTACTGTGAAAAACACCAATCACTTGTTTTTTAAAATTTTAAAAGTGTAATGATAATAAAATGGTTATAAAAATAGCAATATAATTAGACTAATAATAATTTGGACAATTTGGGTAAGGACAATATTAGAAAACAGAAACAAAGAGTTATGGATGTCTGGGTACCTTTTTCTGGGCAACATAAGCCTGAAAAAGGGACACGTTAACAGAGGACTAACTCTTAAAAACAATAACCTGTTGCATATTCATACATCTCATACACGATGCAGAATTTCCATTCAAACAAAGGATTCTGTCTGGTCATCATCAACTTCTTCCTCTTAATCCTAATGGCGTCATCATGGCTGAGCGAGGTGGGGCGAAGTTAATTTCTTCTGATAAGAGAGCAATAAATTCTCTTTCTCTGAAAGATTTATGTGTCCTGTGGCTGCTATCTTGCCATGAGTCCTTTCTTTAAAAAAAGTATCTCACATAGCATAGTTTCTATTTTAACACCATGTTATAACCTAAAACTATTTAACACACTACCTAAGAAAATTAATACAGCTAAACTTTCTAACATAACGCATATAAAATTCATTTTAATATTTGTGAAAAGCCAATCATAAAATATGCCTTTTTCACACCTACTCTATGTCCCTGTTTAATATGCACCTTTCTTTTGTTATATAAAGAAAGAAGAAGAAACTATTAATAATTCTTAAAAATGTTTCTTTTTTCTAGGTTCAAGAATATAATACGGCCTTGGCTGACCAACAGCCTGTGTCGATAGTAACATTTTCTAGAACTAATATTTTTTTTTGTAACTTCCCTATCTGTAAGTTCCTAGCCCTATCTATGAGCAGATTAATATGGTCTGTTTGTAAAGACACATTTATATTATTCCTTTCAACATCATGGGATCCATGGGTACAGTTCTTGGGCATCCCCATGGGGGAGAAGACTGGTTCAGCCCATTGACTGATCCCAGAAGGTATAACAGAGTCTTCCCTAATTTCTCCTCATTCTTAACTCACTTTTATATTATTTTTTATGTCTAGGTTGACGCTGAGTGACTTTAGTTATACATCTTGGCCAGTGAGGGACGGTCGTACTTCAGCAGGCAGGTATCTCAGGATAGTATCTGAGATGATGGGAACATGTGTCAGTCCAAGGAGAGTGATTTCACCATGGTTTCTGATTCAACAGCAGCACATCTTCCTTTATCTCCCTTAGTTTTCATCTGTTGCGTGGATTTTTAACTGGAAAGCGTCACCGAATTCCTCCTACTTCTGCAAGGGTTTCGACTGAGCCTGGCAGCGGGGTCTCCCCTCTGCTCCACCCTCCGTTTAGTCCCCTTTAGTTTGTGCGGTGTGTGAGAGGTCGGGTGGCCGACCGCGTTCCACCCGGGAATAAGAACCATGTTTTCCCTAACAAGTTCCTCACAGTTACCTGTATATCCCTTGTTATTTTCCCACACCGCCCTCCAGCCATTCCCGCTCCTCAGCCGCTCCCTCCCTCAGCCGCTCCCTCTCCTCCGCCGCTCCCTCTCCTCCGCCGCTCCCTCCCCTCAACCGCTCCCGCTCCTCAGCCGCTCCCTCCCCTCAGCCATTCCCGCTCCTCAGCCGCTCCCTCCCCTCAGCCATTCCCGCCGCCCGCCGCGCGGGGGCGCTGCGGGGCGCACGGCGCTGGCCCCGCTCTGCAGCCGGCGCGGCCCCGCCCCGGAAGCGCAGCCGGAGCGGCCGCCGGCCCGGCTCTGTGGCGGCGGCGAGCAGGAGGCGGCCGCGGCCGAGCACCGCCATGGAGCACATCCGCACCACCAAGGTACTGCTGGTGCTGCGGCTCGGGAGCGGGGGTAACTGTGCGGTCGGGAGGGCCCGCCCAGCCCGGCGCAGCCGCTGCGGGCGAGGGCGTTGTTTTCGCTGCCTCCTGCTGTTCTGTAGCCAGTGCCGCCCCGCGCGGGGCTCTGGAGCGGCCCGCGCCGCTGGAAGGGTCGGAGGGCTCTGGGCGTGCTGCTCAGTGTGGCCCCGTGTCCGTAATAAGGGGAAGACGCTAAGAATCCCGGTGTGGGGGTTTTGTGGTGGAGTGGGGAGCAGGATAAGCGAGCTGGGAGGGGATTGCGTTTGTTTTGTGTGTTCTGTATATGCTTCCGTGCAGCTTTTTCTAGTTTTGGAGGCAAATCTGTTGTGAAAACAACCGATTTGTTTTCTCCTTTTTGAATATTCCAGTGTGTGCTAAATACGCAGGACATCATTGCCTGTGTAATGTGTTAGGCTATTAAAAATACGTCAGCTAAGCTGTAGCTGACATTTTGGACTTCTGTGACTTTTATTTCCTATTATTAGTGCGTTAGCCTTATTTGTATATTGAAGATGCAAAAGGAAGGTCTCTCTTGTTGTGGCTAATTTTTTAGTGAGTTTTTAAGTCACAGTTTCTATAGAATTAAATTTCTAACAGTGCTTTTCTCACCTTGCTCATCATCCCTGACTGCAGAGGTTGCTGAAAAGACTCCCCCTGTCTGTAGGCTCCTGGGAATTGTGATTAATTCCTGAACCTGGCAGTCTGACTTTAAAGTTGATTTATAGATATCTTTAGAAGAGGAGCGTTCATAGTTCCTGTCCCAGTACTAGATTCACAACCAATAATTACATAAAGGAAAGGGCTTTTGAATTCCTTGAGTAATAACTTATATAACTTTTATATAACTGTGTATAGCTGCTTTTATTTTTCATATACATGTGTATATGTGAAACAGAAAGAAGGTCTTTGATGAAACTACCGTTAGTGACACTTTATTAGTCTGAAATTAGATGCACTTTATTAGTGCATCATGCTGACAGATTTGAGATAAAGTTTCTTTATCAGCTGTTTATTTACAAACATGAAAGTCCTTGTTTGGAAATTTAATATTGTATTGTTACAGTCAGTAGCTGATTCAAAATTGAAAGCTAGACTAAAGCCAACAAATGATCAGAGTATCTGTTTAAGTTTCAGACCTGAAATTGACACTAGAAAGGCTGCAGGTTGCTGATTTCTTTGTGTCTGCAGCTGATTGTATCTCTGCATTGTGTTTTTGGGGCACTGCTGGGGAAAAAATACTTCATGTAACAATAGAAGTGAAGAGAGAAATGAGCCCTGAACACAATTTGTAAGATACAAAACTTACTACTTGAAGCGATTATTTTTATAAATATAAAATAAATAAATTTTTAAATATAAAATAAATAATTTTTATATTATATTTTTATAAATATAATATAAAAAAACTATGCATTCTAAAAAAACCAGTAAGAAATAGAGTGATATTTTTTCTTATGGTAAGAAATAGAGTGATATTTCTTTTGTTACAGCTGTGTTGCTCGCTTAGCTTTTTGCAAGCTGTTGGTTTATCGAATATCCAGATAGATTCAAATGTGTATTGGCAAAGCATTAGAGGTATAGGAAGCAAGAAAAGTAAAATACAACCTGCACTGTGGGTCTTGAAGATTCACTTTGTGTGTAGGTTCAAGTTGGATCTCGTGCCAGCTGTTCTGAGACATCCCTGCTTTTTCTAATCTGACAGCATTCCTGTTTTTTCAGTTAAGTCATAGTGAAATAAACTTGAAACAAGAGTGCAGTCTTGCACAGATTAACTGCTGTGCAGGGCAGCTGTTATCCCCAGGAGAAGGTGATGGAATAGGTTTTGTGTCTCCTCCAATTTCAGTTTGCTGGGAATGTTGAAATTAAAATTTCTTTACAACTGTCCACACAGGTATCTGAAATTGAGTGTAGCTTTTTGGGAAATTAAACTGTCCAACAGATTTTATGTTCAATAAGGAAGTGAGGTCAAATTTAAAATCACTTCTGACAGTTTTATGTTTAAGTAGCAACAAATGATCAAATTCAGTTTATTAAATGTGGTGGTGAAGTAAAGAATATGTGTTTTTTCAATGAATCTTCATAGTATCCTTTAGGATATTTTAGAGCAAATTGTGGTAGAAAAGTCTGAAAATTGTTCAGTCAAACCTGTTTGCATATTTGAAGTCAAATGTGTATTAGTGAAAATACTGCTGGATTTCTTTCTCCTGGATATGGAAAGTTTTGCTTAGTTTGGCTGCTAAATCAAATCAAACAGCAAAAGGAAAAAGTGTATCATAAGCTGAGCACGCATTTAATCTGGTTTGAGGCAAGTTTAAATGAATGTGTCATCTGTGGAGGCTGAATCTAACCCAGTTGTTTTTAAGAAAAGTTT